TGTACTACTGGTGTTATGTATGTTCAGGAAGCAGTCTCCTGTACCAATTCGTTCAAGGTACCTCCCACGTTCTCTTCTAACAGGTTCAGTGTGGCTGGATTCATGTTGAGGTCTTTGATCCATTTGGACTTAAGTTTTGTGCATTGCGATAGACATGGATATATCGACATTCTTCTACATGCCAGCATCCAGTTAGGCCAGTAATGTGGGTTCTTACAGCTGTAAATTCCCCTCTTAGGACTATCTTATCGAACTCAAAAGATTTGTGAAGTCATTTTTCATTTGTCTCTAGAAATTAAATCTCCTTCAACTAAAAAGCTTCCCATTTCCCCAACAATGAAAGACTATGTGAAGATATGAGGCTAGGTGTCAAACCCATTTTTGTCACTTTCACTGACATGGGCATGGCCTTGTCATCCTATGACATGAGCTGTTACAGACCAGCTGGTAAGCGTTCCTAAAGCTATGGGATCATTCTGGTGAATCTTCACAGGAAAGCTTGATCGGCAGTCCTTTAGACTTCTTAGCCTTAACTTTCTTTGACTTATAGAATTCATTAGCTTGTGTTTGTCTATACCCACAGAAGAGGAATCTCTCCACACCAAAGAATAAGACAAAGGAAAGACATTACAGGGACAAAAATAGGAAAGGAAAAAAATCAAACTATCTCCATTTCTATATGCCATGATTCTGTTTTACTGAGATCTAGTGAAGGTTCCTGGCTGGGTCTCACTCAGAGGTTCATGTCAAAGACTTGGGCCCAGAGTGGCAGGGTAAATGTGAGAGAATCTTTAATAAGCTGGGGTCTACAGTGAGGGTGTCTGTTTCTGGGTCAGTGGGAAGTGGGCCTCAGTCGCCCTTGGACTGAGGAGAGTCGGTCTTTCTCTCCCAGGCACTACCACAGTGGTGAGACAATGGAGACAGCTGATCATGGGCTGAAACCTCCAAAACTGGTATAAAATAATCCTGGACTCCATAAGTTCATTGTCTTGGATACTTTGTGATAATGGTGGGACCATGACTAATACAGTGTCCTTGACATCCAGGACACATGCTTAGGTGACTCTTGGATGAGCAGCTCAGTGCCTGCTCAGCTCCTCCTGTGCAGGCTCCTCCCCAAGGACTCTCAGGAATTGAAGCTAATTATTCCAGTTGATTCTTTTCCTAACCAGGAGCTCTGGGATTCTCCTCCTGCTTATTTCTCTGGAGCTCAAGGATAGACAGAAGAAGGTCAGGAGGTCCTGGCATAACATAATACATCCAGTTATTCTTTAGTTTTTGATGCCCTTAATGGAATCCAAGGGCTCAGAGAGGTAGGTTATCATGTGCCTGAGCAAACCAAGGGCTGTCAGAGTTCATTAGGAGTTGGGAGCTAGTTCTTGGTGAGCAAGGTGTCTCTCTGTGTCTATGTGTCTTGCATATGTACTCTACATGATATATATGGTTAATGGCATTCCATTGCTCTTAAAATGTAGGTATATCTAATCTTTGTGAGATTTGCTCATGTCTTGCATGTTTGTGTGCACATGTATGATATGTAATGACTAACTCTGATCTCTCCAGACCCAGAACACACAAATCTAAATCAGGCCCACAAGAGTAAGTTATTTATATGTGTTTGGGAGTCTCCAAATCAGTCCATTTGGTCTAAAATACTTACCATGCTCTCACTCTGTTGATTCCTTTGTTTTCATCTATGTTCAGACACATTCAACTAGAGGAGACTGAAAGGTCTTAAGAAGACAGTGTGTACTGAGCAATCTGAAGCCATTTTCTGCATTTGCTTGTTTTTGCATGCACACGAATATGTGTGTGTGTGTGTGAGAGAGAGAGAGAGAGAGAGAGAGAGAGAGAGAGAGAGAGAGAGAGAGAGAGAGGCTGCATTTTGTCTGAGTCATATTTGGTGTATGGTTGTGTGTCCTTGAGAGTGGGGAGAGAGAGAGTGAGTGTGTGCACAGGCATTTCACTTATTTGGAGATGATATTTATGTCTATGAGTGAAAGGGGCCTCACTGACTTCATGCATGCCAGGTACAGGTCAGTGGGAACTGGAACTGGTATTCTGAGTGGGGTGCATATGTGCACAGTGTGTATTCTTTGTTTCCTGAAGAAAAGAAACATACCTATGTAACTGTTATATTTTTGTATGGCTCTTGCATGATGTATTTGACCTTGCATTTGGTCATCTTGTGTGTGTGTGTGTGTGTGTGTGTGTGTGTCTACCTGTGTGTGTGAAAGATAGATAGATAGATAGATAGATAGATAGATAGATAGATAGATAGATAGATAGGATAGTGAACATAAGCTTATTCCTTTGAGATGTGATTTTTACATGTTGATTTTTTTGGTTGTCGTTGTTATTGGTTTGTGTGTATGTCTATATCCAGAATACGAGCCTATTCCTCTGAGATGTGTTTTTACATATTGCTGAATGTGTTGCTTGTTTTGATTTTTAGTTGTCCTGTGTGTGTGTCTATATCCAGAGTATTAACTTACTCTTTTGAGATGTGATTTCTATGTGCTGTTAAAGCAGCTGAGACTATGACAGCTACTCATGTGTTGTGTGTAAAATCTTGCATATTAGTTGTGCATTTTGTTATTATGACCCTGTTAGTGACATCCCTTCCTTAGGGCAACTGTATCTGGTAAGAAATCACAAATCAGTAACTCAAGTGTCTGCATGTATGTGTGCCCTTACAGTGCATGTGTGCTTCATCCATGTGTTCTAGAGGCTCTGGGTGATCCCTGAAAAGTTTTATATTCCTTGGTTGATTCAACAGTTGTGAATCTGCATTGGGCAGACAGGCTAACATGTATTTCATCACCATGCTACTCTTATCCACTGATAAGAGCTCAGCATTAGCTGGCCATCATAGGGTCAAATCTTGACTATGGCTTCTATACATTTTTGTTGCCTTAATGAGTGAATTCAAGGACAGTAATCAGCCAAACTTTACAGAAATATTCTGAGGAATAAGCGAGCTAGTGTACATAAACTATTCAGTGCTGTGTTCAGCATATGATGGTCAGTAAAAATAAATTATTATTGTCTTTCCCCAAATCCAATGTTTGGGTGGTGGGAGTTTACTAGTTCACTGTTGTCTAGGGAAAGGACATGTAGAAAACAGAAAAATTGGCCTATTTAGACTTGCTCTCACCCCTTGAGGTCACAGGCTAGCTTCTTCTCCTGGTCACCATCTTCCTTAGGGGTCATAACCTGTAATAACCTGAGCCCTGGAGAAGGTACAAGTTCCTCAGGATGACTCACTGCAATTCCCTGTCCAAGACATGTAACCTCCCACAACAACTCAGTCCAAGGTCAAGTTCAATTTATTTGTTTGTTTCTGTTTCTCTCCCTCCACTGTGGTGTGTGTGTGTGTGTGTGTGTGTGTGTGTGTGTGTGTGTGTGTGTGTATGCTCACTTGCCATGAAGTGGGTGTGCAAGTCAGAGGACAACTTGGAGTTGTTTCTCTCTTTCATATGGTTTCCAGGGATCAAACTCAGACCATCAGGTTTGGCAACAAGTTCCTTTACCCACTAACCCAGTGGTTCTCAACATTTCTAATGCTGCAGCCATTTAATAGAGTTCTTTATGTTGTGGTGACTCCCAATCATAAGGTTATTTCGTTGCTACTTCATAACTGTAGTTTTGCTATTGTTATAAATTGCAATGTGAGTATTTTTTGGAGATAGAGGTTTCCCAAAGGGATCATGAACCTCAAGTTAAGAACCACTGCAACCATCTCACTGAGCCCAAATACATCATACTTTGAGAGAAGCTAAAATATACAGAAATCTTTTGTGAAGTACATGATGTATAAAATATGAGTAGTACCTTTCATAAGATTTTGGAAAAAATGGTGGACATTATACAGCATCTTTGGACACTTTTGTGGGGACAAGTTGCGGTTTCTGTTGGGAATGATAGAGAGCAGTGATCCTGCCCATCAAGCACACAGTGTGACTTCACCTGGAACAGTGAAGGCCAGAGACAAAGCAGGAGAAGAAGCAAGGGCTGCTGGCCCAAGCTATGAAGGAAGCTTCTGACAAAGGGGTCGTGCTAACTAAGAGACCCCGTCCTTCAAGCAGAGTCAATACAGCCATCACCTTGGTGGAGAACAAGAAGGCTCAGCTGGAGGTGATTGTCTGTGATATAAGTAATCTATAGCAGCTTGAAAAAACAAATGAAAACCATATAAACGATGGATGCCAGCTTCTTACTGTTAATTCCCCATTTTAGAGACAAGTACTGAGACTTGAATCTGGTTGGTATGAAGACACAAACCCCTGCACAGAGACCTGGCCATTGGCTCACTTCTATGTGTTCATGTGCTTGTCCATGAATAAATGATGGGGTCAGGACTTTTTCTAAATATGGATTAAGCAAAGTGCTGGTAGCCTTAGTTTCTTTGCAAAGACATTTCATTAATCTGAAGGTGTGATGAAACATTGGGGTTAGGATAGGACAGGTTTATTTATTTATCAAAGGTTGAAGAAGTCAATAGAAGCATAGCTGAAATTCAGATGAGTGAAGGGGTGACTAAAGGTGGTTGTGGGGAAGTATGGAGGTGAACATGATACACAACATATGTAAATGAAAATATCTTTATAAAATCATCACTATGTTACAATGAATATTTGTCAGTAAGCATTTAGAAGAAGACAAGCAAACAAAACTCCCAAAATATAAATCTAAATGGGATAGCATACATACACACCTGATCAGCTGTGTAGCACACTATTGCATATGAATGCCAGCATTCTTATTATTATAGAGCGAATAAGAAAGTGGCATCCTCTATCAATTGGGTACTGTCCAAAGAAGTTACTTTTGTGAGTAAATACTTGTGAAAATGTTTCCAACTGTATATGTAGAGTAATTGCTTGCATCTAAACAAAGAAGAAGAATCACACAGAAATCATCATTGTAGTAATGTGATGGCCATGTTCACGGATGTTTCATCATTTTTTTCTTAAATTTCCAAAAGAGACAAGAGCAGCATGAGGGGGGAGAATCAGAGCAGTGTGTCCGAGTTCCTCCTCCTGGGGCTCCCCATCAGACCAGAGCAGCAGAACATCTTCTTCACCCTGTTCCTGGCCATGTACCTGACCACGGTGCTGGGGAACCTGCTCATCATCCTGCTCATCAGGCTGGACTCTCACCTCCACACCCCCATGTACTTCTTCCTCAGCCACTTGGCCTTCTCTGACATCTCCCTTTCATCCATTACAGTTCCCAAAATGCTGATGAACATTCAGGCTCAGCAGCATTCCATCTCCTACAATGGATGCATCTCCCAGATGTATTTCTTTGTTCTCTTTGGCTGCCTGGACAATTTCCTTCTTGCAGTGATGGCCTACGACAGGTATGTGGCCATCTGCCATCCACTGCTCTACATCACTGCCATGAGGGAGGAACTATGTGTCTGCTTAGTTGCTGGGTCTTGGTTCTTCTGTTTTGTCCATGCGTCGCTTCACACACTCCTCTTGATCCAGCTGTCCTTCTGTGCCAATAATACTGTCCCCAGCTTCTTCTGTGACCTCACTGCCCTCCTGAAGGTGAGCTGCTCAGATATTTCCCTCAATAAGCTAGTCATCTTCACTGAGGGAGGATTACTTTTCATCCTGCCTCTGAGTAGCATCCTGGGCTCTTATATTCTCATAGGGAGCACTGCCTTGAGGGCCCCTTCCACAAAGAGATTCTTCAAAACCTTTTCTACCTGTGCCTCCCATCTCTTTGTGGTGTTTTTATACTATGGGACACTTGCTGGTGTTTACTTTTTCTCTTCATTACAGAATGACAGTGACAAAGACTTAGTTGCTTCTGTAATTTATACGGTAGTCACACCCTTGCTGAACCCTTTTATCTATAGCCTGAGGAACAGAGATATAAAACATGCTCTAGAAATACTAGTCACTAGAGCCCACTCCTTTAATTGACAGACATCCACTACATTTATTATGAATACTTTGAGGTAAATTTCCTAAAATTATCATGTAGTTAATAATTCTATGTATTTAATATAATATGCATTACACTGTTATATGCAGGATTTTCTGTTTATGTTTGGTTGTTGGATGCCTTTCTGGGGTTGAACCCAGAAACTCACTAATGGAAGGCTACCTCCCAAGTCCTGGACAGTGTTCTCAAGACGTTAATTGGATCAAGTTTAATTCTTGAGTTGTTTGCTCTTCTCTGTCGTTACTTTTTGCTTGCTGATCATTCTACATGATCTACTCCTGCTGGACTGGCTCACGTATTGTGGTGTGAAGCAGGCTAAGGCCAAGTTTATGTTGTTTATATACATCTCTACCCAACTGGATAGTTATGAGATCACACTACTACCTTGAAATCAGACATCATGGGAATGATTACACTATGGAAATTGGACAGTCGTGCAAACACATGTTATTCAGTCACCACATATTGTGGCATTTATAATTGGATGATAGTTCATTTAATCTTTATTGACAACCTCATCTCTACTTCTCATAGTAGCATAAGAATGCCCATTTCTTATGTATCAGTGAATACATGGTATTCTTTTCAGTAATTTTACTTTTCAACATTATTATATATGTGATACACCCATTTTAAACAATGCAAAGTCAAAATTTTCTCTCTTTATGTATTTTAGAAATGACATTCTGGAGAACTCAATTATCAATACATGTAAAATCTACATGTAACCGTGGTACATGTAGATTTTTATTTTCTACATAGTTCTATTTTCTGTTTGAGATACAAATGTTTCTTTGCATTTTGATTATGTTTCTGTTACTCCATTTCCCATACAAATTTATTTGGGGGGTTTTATTTTCTTGTTTGTTTATTTGAGACAAAGTCTCAGTATGTATCTCTGGCTGTTCTGGAAATCACTATGTAGATTAGACTGATCCTGACTCAAAAGATCCTCCTGCCTCTGCCTCCTGAGTGCTGGGTTTATAGGTGTTCATACAAAGCTTGGCTTCTTTACTAACTTGTTAATAACATGATATTTTCTATTTTTGTGTGTTTTGTATAGAAGTTGTGATTTTGCTTTATGTCAAAAATTTTAAATTGAGACATCATATGTATAACATAATATAGGATTTATTGTTTTAACCATTTGAGGTGTATGATTCACCATTATTGTTCAGTTCTCAGAACTTCCCAAGTAAATTGTTACAATCTTGATTTGGGATAATTCCAGTGGTTTTGTTGTCTATAAACTTTATTCATGGATCTTTGGGATCTCCTGGCTTGGGGACTATGGGCAGGTCGACTTTCCTTGAGTGAACCAGGCAATCCAGAGTCTGCTGACATCCCTTTGCTAGTCCCACCCTCCTCAGGGGAGAGGTGAGCATGGGTCCCTGTCTCAGGCCCAACTTCCCCTTGCCCTCTTTGGATCTCCTGGCCTGGGGACTTTGGGCAGGTCAACTCACCCCAGGCAGATCAAGCCATCCAGAATGTGCTGACATCATGGAGCTAGTCCCACTTCCATCTGCCCTGGCCAGCAGGGCACAATCAAGGTTGATGCCAGAGAAACCTGGAATGAGGGTACAGGAGACATGAGAAACAGACAGCAAGACGGGCTTTCTGATCAAGCTGCAAAAGTTTATTTTCCTTAGGCATGTTATACAGTGGTTAGGGTGGGAAACTAGGTAGGGTGAAGTAATCACAGGAGAGGGGTCATTGCCTAGTAACCACACCACAGAAGGTTCTCAGTCATGGGTCTCTGAAGGTGAGCAGGATAGCCGGTGAAGATAAGCAAGGTGTTGGCAAGGTAAAAGGGTCGCAGAAGGAGGGGTTAAGTGATCTAATTGTGGGATGTTTCCTTTATTGCCATCAGCTATTCCTGTGAGCCCAAGTTCTCTTCATTAGGAAGCTGGGGAGGGGAAGACGTTGTTTAGCTGCCTAACTGCAGAGTGTTCTTTCTTTCAGCTATCTTCCTGTTGATTCATTAGGGGGTGAGTGAAGACTGACTGGGCTGCTTGTGTGGGCTCTTGGAAGCTTTTTTCAGTTATAATGATTGTTCCTGGCACCATCCACTAGGAGAAGGAGTGTGTAAGACCCACCTGCAACCATCTTGAGACCCATTGGAGTATTGGACCTACTTGCACCAACAGGAAGAGAACCTTTGACCCATACCCACCAGGAGAGGAAGAGACCCCACCTGGACCCACTGGAAGAAAGAATAGGAAGATGACAATATAAGAATAAATTCAAAAACACAAAAACCAATATGAGGGTCACCAGAGTCTAAGAACATTACACCAGCAAGACCTAAACATCCCAACACAGAGGAAGCAGAAGAGAAGGATCTTAACAACAACTTCCTGTAGATGATAGAAACCCTAAATGAGAAAATCCTTTAAAGAAATGGAAGGAAAAAACAAACAAAAAATTCAAGAAATGGAGGAAAAGTCAAACCAAAAATTTCAAGGAACAATTCCAACAGTGCAAGGTTTGAAAGCTGAATAGAGACAATTAAAAAAACACAGTCTGTGGGAATTCTGGAATTAGAAAATCTGGGTAAACAATCAGGAACTACAGATGCAAGCATAACTAACAGGAATATAGAGACTGCAGAAAGAATCTCAAATGTTGAAGATACACTAGGAGAAATAGATTCATTGACCAAAGAAAATCTTAAGTACAACAAATCCCTAACACAGAATATCCAGGAAATATGGAACACCATGAAAAGGACAAACCTAAGAATAATAGGTATAGAAGAAGGTGAAGAAACTCACCTCAAAGGGGGATAAAACATATTCAGCAATATCATAGACAAAAACTTTCCCAACATAAAGACACACCAATGAATGTACAAGAAGCTTACACAACACCAAACAGAGTGGGCCACAAAAACGTTCCCTTGCTACATAATACTCAAAACACCAAACATGCAGAATAAAGAAAGAATATTAAGAGCAGCAAAGGAAAAAGGCCAAGTAACATACAAAGGCAACCCTATCAGAATTACATCTGACTTCTCCATGGAAACTCTGAAAGTCTGAAGGTCCTGAATAGATATTCTACCAACACTACGAAACCAAGAATGCCAGCCCATACTGCTATACCAATCACTATAGATGGGGAAAAAAAGATATTCCATGACAAACCAGATTTAAACAGTACATATCCACTAATCCAGCTCTACAGAAAGTACTGGAAGGAAGCTCCAACCTAAGGAAGTTAACTACACTCACAAAACATAGACAATAGATAATATTTTACCAAAAGCCGAAAGAAAAAGCGGGATAAATCCACACACAATACCACCACCACCACCACCAAATCCAAAATAAACAAAATTAACACTAAATGATCCTTAATCTCCCTCAATATTAATGGTCTTAACTCATCTATGAAAATACACAGGCTAACAGAATGGATATGAAGACAGAATCCATCCTTTTGCTGCATACAAGAAACACACCTCAACTTCAAAGACAGACATTACCTCAGAGTAAAGGGTTGGGATAAGATTTTCCAATCAAATAGACCCAAGAAACAAGTTGGTGTAGCTATCCTAGTATCTAACAAATTAGACTTCAAACTAAAATCAATCAAAAGAGATGAAGAGGGTCATTTTGTATTCATCACAGGAAAAATCCATCAGGATGAAGTCTCAATTCTGAACATCTATGTCCCAAATACAAAGGCACCCACATTGGTAGAAGAAACATTACTAAAGCTCAAGTCACACATAAAACCTCAAACACTTATAGTGGGAGACTTCAACATCCCACTCTCACCACTAGACAGGACCACCAGACAGAAACTTAACAAAGAAACAAAGGAACTAATAGAAGTTATGATCCAATTGAGTTTAACAAACAACTGTAGAACATTCCATGCAAACACAAAAGAATATACCTTCTTCTCACCACCAAATGGAACCTTCTCTAAAATGGCCCACATAGTCAGCAATATAGCAAACCTCAACAGTTAAAAAAATGGAATAACCCCCTGTAACTTATCAGACTACCATGTGTTAAAGTTAGAACTCAATAACAACACAAATTGCAGAAACCCTACAAAGTCATGGAAATTGAACAATGTGCAATTGCACCATTCCTGGGTCAAGGAAGAAATAAAAAGAAATTAAAGACTTCCTAGAATTCAATGAGAATGAAGACACAACATACCCAAACCTATGGGACACTTTGAAATCAGTGCTAAGAGGAAAGTTCATAGCACTAAGTACCCACATGAAGAAACTGACGAACTGCCACACTAGAAAATTAACAGCACAACTGAAAGCTCTAGAACACAAAGAAGCAAACTCCCCCAGGAGGAGTAGATGCCAGGAAATAATCAGATTGAGGGCTGAACTCAATAAAGTAGAAACAAGGAAAACAATACAAAGAATCAATGTAACAAAGTGTTGGTTCTTTGAGAAAATCAACAAGATAGACAAACCTTTATCTAAACCAACCAAAAGGCAGAGAAAGAACATGCAAATTAACAAAATCAGAAATGAAAAGAGGAACATAACAATGGACACTGAGGAAATCCAGAGAATCATCAGGTCATACTTTGAAAACCTGTACTGCACAAAATTGGAAATATAAAGGAAATGAACAATTTTCTCAGTAGATATCACATACCAAAATTAAATCAAGAATAAATAAGCAATTTAAACAGGCCTATAACCCCTAATGAAATAGAAGTATTCATCAAAAGTCTCCCAACCAAAAAAAGCCTAGGGCCAGATGGTTTCAGTGGAGAATTCTACCAGAAATGCAAAGAAGAGCTAATACCAATACTCCTCAAAGTGTTCCACACAATAGAAGCAGAAGGTTCATTGCCAAACTCATTTTACAAGGCTACAATTATTTACAAGCCACACAGAGACACAACTAAGAAAGAGAACTACAGACAAAGATCCCTCATAAATATTGATGCAATGGTATGTACTCACTCATATATGGATTTTAGGCATGAAACA